TCCGCCGTCATCTGTCCTTGCCTTTCCAAGGAAATGGGATTTCGCTGTCTCCGTTAAAATCCCTCTTTCCTCTCCATACCCCCCCCCCCCCCCCTTTTTCCTTTCTCTTTCTACCGAAATCCCTTCTCCCCCAGCGTTTATTTATTTTTGGGATCATCGACCGATCGAATTAAAACCCCACAATCAGCTCGCTTCCTGTGGTGTTTATTTGCAACGCCCGACTCGTACGGCTCCAGACACCTCCAAGTTTAAACCGAGCCACGGTTGGTTTCTCTGGAGATTAATTCTTTGGAGATTGACTGGAAATTCTTGTTTCTTTTCTTACCAGAAGTGGAGCGGAGACGCACGACGCAGAAACCGAAGAAAGCGGAGTCCATGATGATCAAAGGTGAGCCCGGCAGGAGTCTCGCCCCTCGTTTATGCGCGTCGGCATCGTTTCTCGAAGGAAAAAACCGTCTCCATCCATGTTTCATGGCCGGTATGGGATTTCTCTCCGGATGATCCGCACATGTAAGAATATTAAAGCGCTCCTCCCCCCCCCCTCCCCCCCTCCCCTCCCCCCCCCTCCACACGCGACCTCCTCGTCCGTCTCCGTCCTTCCCCTCGAGAGCGCGAGCATGCATCACACTCGTTTCGAGTCTCCATTTATTCGTCTCTTCTCTTCCCGCTGTTCGACCCGATAAACTGCTTCTCGAATATCAATCCGAGAAGACGAATATATTCATGGCGTGCTCGGATTTTTTTTCTTGCGTTGCTCGAACCCATTCCGATCGGAGACGGTTTTTACCCGCTTCACTCCACGGCGAGTCCTGGCTTCGCTTCTGGTAACGTAAAGTAACGTAACGTAACGATTCGTGAGGTCTCCGACGGCCTCGCATGCGTCTGCTCGCCGTTTCCATCCAGGAGAGAGAAAGCACAGGGCGAGGAATCGACGCTATTGTCAACATGCCGTGCAAGGGGAAGCTCGTCTTTAATTTTCGCTATTAACGATCCCGGCTGGCTTTGACTCGGCCTCGTGCCGCACACGACGCAGTTTTCGGCCTTGCCATTCTTGCCATTGTCATTTCGCTTTGGTCTCTCGCGAACGGAGCGAGGGCTTGCCGATTTAAAGGGGCCTTTATCCCATAAGGCGCAGCAGGCGCGGGAAATGCAAAATGAGCAACGGTTATGAAGCCGAGGTGGAATTTATGGCCTTGCAAATGAAGCCTTTGGTCGATCTCATTTTCATTCTCGTTGCCGAACGTGCACATTACCCACGCGATCATTCTTCGTCTAAAATGCGACACGACGATATTCTCCCCGCGGGGGATCCTGTTCGTTTCACCAGAGCCGTCTCTCCCAATAACTCCTCTGAAAAAAAAAATCAGTGAAATTCTTTTGTTTTTTCCTCAGAACAACTGCCGACGACGAGGGGAGAAGGAGAACCGAACTCGGCGTCGGCTTCCGCCCAGATCGGAACGCATTTTGGCATGCTTCTGGCCGCCCTCTGCCTCGTCTCCGAGTTTTCCATCTGAGAGAGAAAAAAAGACTCGCGACGCCGAAACAAAACGTGCCTGTGATTCCTGCGATTCTCGACTTCTCTGTGTACACTGCATACGATCGGCTTCCCTTTTCCACGGAATATTGCTATATTGTACAGGATTTTAACGGTACGAAAGTGTTCCGCTCCTTCGTTTTCGTGCTTGCCTCTCGCTGCATCGAGTGTATTTATATCTTAGAAATCGAGTCGAACTCGAACGAATCGGACTTTGTACGCGTTCGAGCGGTCTTTCTGTGTCGTGGATGGTCCTCACTGCGAATAAAGGCGAGCTTTTTTTCCATCGCAGGTGTTTTCCCCAGAGATCCCCCCCCCCCTCGCCCCCCCACCGCCCCCCACCGCCCCCCCGCCGCACCCCCGCCTGCAGGGAGTGACACGAGCGATAACCAAATGGCGAGCAATTAAGGGAGCGAGTAATTAAGGATCGGGAGAGTCATTAAGGACCGAGAGGTCAGAACGAGACGGGGACGCCGCAAAATTACCTGGTCGGGTCTCAATAATTCATGCACCTTGCTCGGGATTTATGGAGCAAACAACCGGCGTATAAAGGGGCTGGACGCGAATCGTCGGATCGTTCTTCTCTCCCGATCGCTCGTGCCTTCGGACGTTCGCGTGCGCTTCTGTTTTCTCACCGACGATAAATGCCCCCCCTCGTCGACCTTTGCTGGATGGATCGGCCTTTTTTTTCCGTGCGTAATTAATGTGCGGCTTTTGGCGGGTCTGTAGCGTCCAGACTCGTATCGACTTCACGGGTCTCGGATACCGGCAGCATCTGGAAAGACCGGATGAGAACCGCATCGATCCGAGCGAGAGATAAATGCGTCGACTCGTCGTAACACATTTACGGGGAAACGATACATTAGATCGAATAATCATTCATCTCTCGAAGATGCGCTAAAGATAAATCGGCAGGGCCGATTTCGACGGATGAGATGCTAATGGACTCCGAACCCGCTCCCATTTTTTTCGCTTTCAAAGAGGTTTAATGGAATACAGGGTGCCTCAAAAAGTCGAGCAGAAAACGAAGAACGAGCGATGACCCGAGCCGATTAAATTTGGATCGTCCGGACGAACGACGTTTTCGCGATCGGCGGTCCCAGACGTCATCGCACTCCGGCGAGCGCACGAACGAATGGCACCCGACGAACGACAAAATAAATAAAAATATGATGTATACAAATTCCATGTTTATGAACCGTTTGACGGCGTTGTTTATTTGACGGCTGGCTCGGATGGATGTCTGCGACTGATCGTCCTCCGCCGCGAATCGCTTCCGTCTTCGAGGCTCCGCGTCTTTCCGTGTTCAGGGCTCCAGGGCGGGGTCGAGGCTCGGGTTCCGATCGAAAGCCAAGGTGGACCTCAGTGGACCTCGGTGGACCTCGGTGGACCTCGGTGGACCTCGGTGGACCTCGGTGGACCTCCGTGAACCTCTGTGAACCTTTCTCGTCGATTCGCAGCCGTTCGAGATGGAGACGTGATGATTTCTGCGTCTCTTCCGGTCTCGTATCGGACTCCCGTCTGACTCCGTTCGGGAACGATGCGCCGATATCGCGTGTCGAAGTCTGGGATTCGCGAGCAGCCGATCCGAAATTCCACCAACTTCTTATTTCCCGGTGGAGTCATTAATCTGTCATCTTCCGGCTTTCGGTCGAAGGAAGCGACGATCCTTTACGACGATCGGGCAATTCCGTCGAGCACGCGTTCCTGCGGAATTCCACGAGGATCGAATGCTCTGAGTCCTTTATAATTCGTGGCGCTTCCTTTTAATTCGTAGCGCTTCCTTTTAATCTGTAGTGCTTCTTTTTAATTCGTCACACGTGTGCCGATGTTGTTGTCGCTGCACACTCGGGTAAAATCCTCGGTTTTGGAATCCGCGCGATTCTCGGAGACGATGCACGCGCTGTCCAATTCACGTTTTTACGGATCGGACATCGATGTTATCAGCTCGGAAAAGGCCGTTTGAGTTTCTAATTCCGTTAAGTTACGTAAAGTGAGGCGGACTTAATAACAAGACCTGAGTTCGAACGAAGCGACGCATGGATTGCGGCTGCGACCGCGACGAACGCGAGCGCGAAGAATCTGGCCTCGGCGGGTCGCGTCGGGCCGCGCCGAGCCGCCTCGCGAAAACTGCCGCACGTCGAAGCATTCATTCGCATTCGTGGAAGCTTCTGGATGACGGAAAAGTCCGCGTCGCTCCTAGCTCATAAAAGCGAAAATATACCGCTTTTATTTTCTTCTTTCCGTCCCGCCGTTTCCAGAACGATGAAGGCACAAAAACGTCATTTGGAAATTAATCACGGACCTCGCACCGAATAACGAGCGTGCCAGGATTCACCCAATTTTTTGTTTTTACCCGTTTCTTCTCTAAATTCCGCACCTCGTATGTTAAATTATTCCAAACAAAATTCGCAAAGCAATCGAGTTCCATGAAATCGTCGTTCGACGTTGGACGAATGAAGATATCGAAACGCTTTCGTTCGTTTCCATCCATATTTGACTTTTTTCATTCTGGAAATCTTTCGGTTTTCGATGTCGCCGATTTCGATTAACTTTTTTCTGCTTTAATTTGTATTCAGGGCGTTCTGAACACGATCGCGATTTCGGACCGAATTCGTACTTTCCTCATCGATTGCGGGCCGTCAAATGTTGCGGATGAAAAATTGATTTATCCGGGTTCATCGAGCATTAATTAGTCCCGGTTGGCTGGCTTCGCATCGATGGAAGCCGATTCCGTTTCCGGATTCGGATTTGGCTCATCTCACGATTAGCGATTCCTGGTTTCTTCTCGCAGACAGCCGGGGGAACGGAATTCTCTTACGAGGGCGACTCGCTGATTGAAATCGGCACGAGTCGTGCTTCCGCCGTTCTCGTTCGGGTGTCGTGCTTCCAGAGCATTTTCCTTCTCGACGTGGGGCTTCCTGAAACCGAAGCAGGATCGTGGGGGAAGACTGTTCCATCAGAATGAAACGGCATCGAGAATGGCAATCGAGAATGGCAATCCAGAATGGCAATCCAAAATGGCGTAGTTTGTTGGAAAGACTGAGAGCTACCGTGGCTAAATTCTGTAGCTGGAGCAGCTGTCTGTCCGCTCTCTTTTTATGTTCCTCATTATGCTCGCAAGAACATATGACCGCGATGTTTTCTCAATGAATTATTAAAAAGAGGAACTATTACAGGCCATCCAGCAACCCCGTCGAGAACGAGTATTACATCAAGCTAATAAACGAGAGTAGTGTTTCCCTCGTTCCCCCACAACCTCGGGAGGGGGGAGGGGGGAGGAGGGGGGGAGGAGGGGGGGAGGGGGGGGGGGGAGGGGGGGGGGAGGAGGGGGGGGAGGGTATGGGATGGAATTCAATCTGAAAACAGTGGATGAAATAAGACGTCAGCAAAACCGAGGTCAGTACAATCTAAATGAACTTAATATTAATATTAATTTTTGACGTCAATTAGGCTAAAGGATAGACAAAGGCTACGTCTTGTGATCATGACGTCTTAGTTGAAAAGAAATAAATCGCAGGGAGCATGTCTTATCTTTGATAAATCTGCATTTAGAAGGCATTGAGAAGAATTGTCTTGATTTTGTGCGGGATTTCTTCAGCAAATATGATAAGTCACGGCACATGAAGCGCAAAATAAAAATTTTATTACGTAAAAGTGATGATTTCTGAGTTGCTTTGAGCCTCAAATACTTGTTCTCGTGACATATTTGGTTACGTCCTTGCCTCCATCTCATCGGCAATGACCGAGTCGGATTCTTCCCCTTCGTAATCCTTTTCCTTGATCCACGAATGCTTAGTGACGCCGCGACGAGACTTCCGCGAGAGTCTGCAGATTGAAAACACTCGCAGTCGCTGCAGGCGGCAACTACAAGGGAGACATCTGCTCGACAAAAAAGCTCAACTACTTGCAGCATCCGCCGCTGCGTGAAGGAAGGCGCGACGAGCCATGGGAGATCGCAGTGAGAGGAGGGAAGCGAGCGAAGAAGGGTGAGTTCATTCGGTAAGAGCCGAAAGGGAGGAGGACCAGAGGGACGGAACCCGAGTCGACCACGATCACCGAAAATCCCCTGTGGCACTCAGCTTCCTTCGCTTTCTCCTCCAATGTTCTCATAGATTCATACGGACGTCGGCAACAGTATGTTCTGGTTGCAGCTACTCGAAGTAGCCTACAACTATGGTACATGATGTGAACATGGCGTTTTCCTCTATTGAGAGGACGCAAAGAAACTAAGTTATTGTTGGTCTATGATTTTTGCGGAATTCCCAGGAAACTTGAGCTACCAATTCTCTCATTCGCATCGGAGCGGTAAGCTCTTCTCTATCTTGTCCAAGGGGGTATCGATCGTGCGGGGGGGGGGGAAGAGCCAAGCTCATATATTCATCCTGGTTTTCGAGAAACCTTTCGCGTCTGTCGCTTCTTCTGTGAGTTTATGATTTAAATTCGCATTTTCAGATGACTGGGAAATCGATGTCGGGAATATATATATTATTATACATATATGTATATACCCGACATCGAATTTCCATCCATCGATTTTCAGCTTCCCTATAGAGAAGTTTGAAAGCGAATAGAGAATGCATTTGGAGATCGACAGCGCCACTAGCCTCGAGAAAAGCGATGCGAACATTTCTGTCAGATCCCGAATTGAGATAGAGAGAGAAAATGAGAGGATTTACGACTCCTCTTCCCCTTCCCCTCTTCATATTTTCGCGAATTCCAGAAGATTCCCCCCTCTAAATCACAAATGGAAACGACATACGTTCGATCCCTTAAATCTTAAGTTCTTTCCGAAGCGCAGTGGTCCAGAGCGAGTGAAAACTGGCCGAAAATGCCTGACACCCTTTGGTCGATCTAGAGGGGGGGGGGGGATTCCTCAACGTTAGCAAAAAATTTGTCTAATATCTACTTGATGTTGCCTATATCTGACGTTTAGAATCATTTCCCCCCTTCCTTTGTCCGAATATTCGAAGTTATCACCTTATCTTGGAAATTCAGGCCTAGCGATGTTGTGTATCATTGAAAAGGTCTCGTCAAAAACAAATGGTGCAATGATGGCCATTATTTGAGGCTACTATGCGATGTTTCTTGGAGATTTTTCTCTTCAAGAGTTAGTTTCATATCGTCTAGTCACCCAATGCCAATTCTCACCCGAGAATTGGCATTTTATTCATCATTTGCCTGGGCACATTTCTAGGACATCAGTTTTCAGCAGTGCATACTCGCAATCGGGTGACTATGTCCGTCTGAGTTGGGTTTCTTGGACCTAAGGAGGGAATAAAAAAA